ATTACTTTTAGGTTTATTTTTAATTTTTCTATTGCTTTTTATCATTAAAATTTTTGATTTGGACACGGTCGGTATACATATATTATTTTTTTTAAGATATTCAAAGTATGTATTAATTTTTATCTCAAAATTTCCTTTAAATTATTGATTATATTACGTTATCCGGTAATAAAATATTGGTTAACCTTATTATGATGTAAGCCCCATTTATTGTAAAATTCTGGCTCCGCCCCTGATAACAAGTGAAAAAGAATTGACTTTAAATCCTTCACTCACTCGTAAAAATTATGAAATCCATCAAAAATAAAATCCAAAAGATTTAGTCAGAAATTAAATTTCCTCCATTTGACAACCAAACACACCAGGAAATGGAATGTCGAATTTCAGTTCAATCAAATTCTACCCGTATCCATAAACCAAACACACCCATAGGTTTTGACAAAATGTAGATGAAGGTAACCTTTTTTGGAAAATAAATAGATGCAAATAAAGTTGTAAATCATTCAAGATTTGTCAATTCGGGTCTTAAAATCTAGCTAGCTAGTGTTACATGTACCAAAAGCATACCCACATTAAACAAAATGATACCAACATACGGACACAAAGCCAGAAGCAAAAGTAAAGTAAAACGCATACAAGTCTTCAGTCTTCAAAGAAGTCATTTTCTGAAAAGTCATCATACATGTCATCTTCCAAATAAGAAATATGATGATAGAATGGGCGGTTTTGTGTAGGGCTGTGCTTAAAATCTTTGATCCTTTCCTGGCATAACTTTCCTAAAGACCCACCAAGATCAAGGTTATAACACATCCGAACATCTAGGGACTCGAGGTGAGGGCATCCATTAACAATGGCCTCAAGTCCATCATTTTTCAGCTCAGTGTCAGATACGTCCAAATTACGTAACTCAGGCATGTTATCTGCAATGGCAAGGGCATGATCGTCAAAGCTCTCACTGAACACTTTACTCATCTTGAAGTATTTGAGCTGAGGGCAATTACGTCCAATTACTTCAACGGCTTGTGCATTGATACGTGTGTTAAGAAGGTGAAGTTCCTCCAATTGTGGTAACCTCTCGACTGCAAGACTCAATGCACCACCCGTGATACCGAAGCAATTCACAAGACAAAGACGTTTCAGGTTTCTTGAGCTGTTCATAAGTCCAAATACAAGACAAATTATGTAGATGATAAATTATCCCCATATTTGTATTCCGCAGATTCCTTTTTGGTGGATAAATCCTATTTTTCATAATTGATGATGCGTATTTTTATTTTATGCAGTATGACTATGAAACTGAATAGCAATGGGAAAGGGGAGAAACTTACCGTTGCACAATGTGATCAAGGAGTTCGTCGGAGCCAAACCAGTCGATGCTGATATCGATCAGTTCCCCACAGCTGAGATCGACTAGTTCCATAGTCAGCGCCTTTCCCAGGCCCCAATCTTTAGCATGCCGTTTGACCATATTAATGACTTTCCACATCGCCGGATACTTGCAAATTTTCAGCCAAGCTGTACATACTTTCCTTGCGCTGTTGAGTATTTCTATGGTAGGCAATCTTTGGAATATATTTACCATCACTTCGTCAGGCATTTCCAGCCAATTTGGAGATTCTTTCATCGCCGATGACGGCTCTGCGGTAAAGGTCGACGCCATTTCAACTATGCAGTACTATAATTTTACCGAATGATTTTTATGTTCACGACTAAGCGACGTTTCTCTAGGTTATTGAAAACCCTTTTTTTTAACCGAGCAGAGTGAATTTAAGAAACTGACCCTAGACTTTATGTGTTCTACCAATAGAGCCCTTTGAGAAAAATATGTTTTATGTTATCACTAATTATGTTGGTCCAAGTTCTTTTTGCTTCCTTTTGCTCTAAACTAGTTGGTTGACCACTTATGCGTGTTGCTGTGGAAAAATTTTCATTCAAAATATTTAGAGAGAAAATCAATTTCGTTGTATTTTTCCTACCACTTTATTATTAATGCTACCTCGAATTTAATATATTAAACTTTCAAATATTTCAGGAAAAATTAGGAGTGTTAGTTGGTTAAAATTTTATTTGACATGTAAAAAAACCAGCTTCACACATAAATTATAAAATAAACAACACAGGTATATATCAAAAATGTATATAAACTAGTAATAATTTTTGTAAGCCGACACAAGAATTATTAAGTCATTCCTAAGGATTTAAGAGACACTTCAAAAATTTCTTCAAGCGCTCACTTGTCAAGACAACTATTATTTGCAAAAAGAACTTCAAGGCTCCATGTGTGTGATGACACTTAAACCATTAAAAATATAATTAAGCCTAAAACCAAGAGTAGAAGATCAAAGATGGGACTATAGTCTCTAGTGGTTAGGTCATAACATACTTCTTCAAGAATGGTCATTTCTTCAACTTGTTACATTTGATAAAAAAAATACAACTAGTTTAACTAATTTATTACATACAAAATAAACAAATGAAAAAAATACATATTTATCTATTGCGTCTTATGAATAAATGAATATCAACCAACAACAACATAATGGTCCTAATGGTTCGTTGATACACAACAACATTTCAAATATACAAACAAAAACTTTGTTTTTCTAAGGTACTTTTATACAACCAAATGCATGAAAAAAGTAGTTGCATAAAAATAACAATTATAAAAACAACAAGTTGTCATGAAAAATATATTTGGTTATTTCTATGCCACAAGTAATATCAAGCATATTTTCCAAAGCCAAAGGTTATCAAATACTAAATAAATCGTTCTAAAAATATATAAGAGGCTCTAACTGTTTTCAAGCTAAAAACGGTATACTTATAATAATTTTAAGAGCAACAACCTAAGACTAAAAATAACTAGTTTATTTTTATGATCATTTTAACAAAACCAAAAAGAGGATCCAAATACATGAACTAGAAAGATTATGAAAACCATAGGATGTTTAGAACTATAACCTTTAAAGACTTTGAACCCATAAGGTTTCGGGGAGTTGATGAAGATGGTAAAACCTCAAGGGTACAATTTCTCTATAATGTATCTACCAACAAGAGTAAGCCACCAAGAATACTATTTTTCCATCTTGTATGAAGTACTTCTTAAGCCTTTAAGTGCTTAACACAATTAAACACTAAAAGGAGAAGCACTTCCAAGCACCAAATCTACACTTAACTTTAAAAGACAAGAAAAGAGGGGAATGGAAAGATGGGTTCGACCATGGAGAGAAAATGAGCACAAAAACTAACCTAAAATAAAAGGCTTACACTACTTTATATACTCACACTTTAGATATAAGAACCCTACCCCTACATAAGTCAAAGGTATGACATCAAAAAGGTATGGTGTGTAAGAAGCAGACTTGCAAGCAACCTCTTGTCCATCCTTCACACTTACAGCCTAAGAGAGAAAAAGATGAGATGTGATGTTTCTAAATCATCTAGCATTATCTCACATGTGTACAAATTATATCTATTATATATGAACTCTAAAAGGTCCAAATATTTGTATACAACATATTAAATCATACCTTGTGATTAAATGTCTAGTTTTTCTCTCTAGAAATATTATTTTCATAAAATAATAAGTATTCTTTAATTATATTTGGGTGTTTACCCACACATGTTATATGTGGGTAAAAGCCTTATATCTGTTGGTAGTCATTGTTAACTACACATAAATTAAGTGTCACTATGTGTTGGATCAAGCCTGTTTCATTACCGACATATAGTTTATGTGTAGCTAAAGAGCAATTTATACCTACATATATATGTGTGGCTAAATACAGTAAATATGTGTGGGTATAGGTATTTTAATTTATTTAGGATGTTGATGATGTGGCCTCTTACATGGTTGTTGTTGTGGACGCTGATGTTGTCGCTTACATGGCTGCTGATGTGGTCACTAATGTGGACTAACGTGTGATAAAAATATGTGTAATTAATAGTGTTTTTATGTGTACGTAGTATCAGGATATGTGAAGGTATTAATATGAATATGTGCCGGTAAAAATATATTTATATGTAGGTATATATATA